TAGAATGGTGACTTAAAACAAAGGAGCTAAGATCCAACGACAGAATAAAGGATTTGGGATGGAAAGAAGCCAGTACAGATGAAAGCATGTGACAGTGTAGCCCAGCTGTGAGCAGATTTCTGGTCCTGGAGACATCATCTGCTTTAGCCACCATCATTGGTCATCTCTTGTAACTAGTGCAGTGTCTGAAAGAGGAATCCATACAATCAGCGTGCTGGGAGCACCCAAAGCAGGAAGCTCAGAAAGCAGGAACTCACTCAAGGGAGACGCGGACGATTGAAAACAGGGACTCTGTAAACCTTGGAGCTTCGTGTTGGCCATCTGTGAAGGCATGTCTGTGCCTGCTGGTGACTTTGCCTATGATTGGTTTCTTTTTTTTCAGATTGAGAGTCTCCCACCAGAGCTGTTCCAGTGCAGGAAGCTGAGAACCTTGAACCTGGGGAACAACGTGCTGCAGTCGCTGCCCTCGCGCGTGGGAGAGCTGACCAACCTGTCGCAGATCGAGCTGCGAGGGAACCGCCTGGAGTGCCTGCCCGTGGAGCTGGGGGAGTGCCCGCTGCTCAAACGCAGTGGGCTCGTGGTGGAGGAGGACCTGTTCAACACCCTGCCCTTGGAAGTCAAGGAGCGCCTGTGGAGGGCAGACAAAGAGCAAGCTTGAACCCCTGAGAAAAGGGGAAAGCCTCTGATCAACTAGAAGGAAGCAAAAGGCCACTTCAGTCCCCTTTCACCCAGATGCTCCCCTCTATCCACTCCAATCACTATCAAACTGGCCAAGGAGTACTTGACAAACATGACTCTGAATGAGTCAGCTTCTTGCCTCAGATGCAGGATGGGGGAGGCTTGGGATCAGGATGAGGATCAAGACAGATTAATTGGCCTCTGAGCAGGGCCCAGGGGGAATTAGAGGTGTTGCTTTTCTTCTGAACAGGAATTGGGGTGAGGTGGATGGTGCTGGTGAGAAGGAATGACCGTTGAATGGAGGAGAAAATGAACGTGGGGATTGCTGCATTGCTCCTAATAGGGCTTATATGTGTCAGGGGCAAAGGGAATCCAGTGTCCTGCAAGCAAAGATCAAGAGACAAGGAAACCTCTTGAACCTCCATCTCTGTGGCAGCTGGTACTGCTTCCCTCGGGCTCAGATTCAGTCAGTGAGCCCCCAGTCTGGGGTGGGATAGGACACAGACAGCTGATTTTATCTAGCTGCTGGCATTAGGATTTGGGAGATAAACATCTTGCAGCTGCTTGAAGGCAGAATTTTTTTTTTTTTCTAATTTTCTTTCCCCTTTGCACACTCCCCACCTTCTCCTCTGCCCCTGGAGAAGGAATCAAACCTTTAAGATTGCACTACTGTAATGGTTTCAAGTCATTTGTTTGGGTGAGTAGATCACAGCATCCTTCTCCAGCTGATGTCCTGGAGGCACTAACTGACACAGCTCCAGAGCTTTAGCCTGTTCTGAAATGGATGGTTATAGTGCAGGTGGGAGATCTGGATAAAAAGCACTCTCTCAGAAGCATGGAGTTGCTTCTGGCTTTTAGTTCCAAGTTCCTTTTTAATTGCTGGTATTTTGTTGCATATCAGGTAGAAATGTACAACTGGCCAGTGTGTCAGGGGCTGACATGGAGCTGGAGAGGAAATTTGGGCTTCCTCTGCACCTCTTGTCCCCCATTCTGCCTTCCCCCAAAATTAAGTTGTTAAATTAAGTTGTTCAGTGGTCTGCCAGTGTTTTTCATGGATGCAGTCTAGAGAGCTGCTTGATTGTTCTCTTCTGTTGTTCCCCTCACTTTAACAGCTGTCAGTTCCTGTTACACCTCTTGACCTAAATAAGAGGCTAATGCTGATTGAACCTGGTGCTGGAAAAGAAATCTTGTCCTCTTGTTTGTTCCTTCCCTTTTCATTCCCTCAGTGTTAAAGAGGGGAATGAGAATCCTCTGTGGACTGAGCTCTTCTGACTTCCTGAAACAGAGCAGCCTTTACTGAAACAAGTTTGACCTGTTTGGTGGTATTTGTCAAAAAAACCCTGAACCTTCTGGGCTGGCAGAGGTAGATAATGTGTAACAGTTACTGATTATCATGTCCTTAAGGTGGGGTGGTTAAGATGCCTCCAGGACACAAAGGTCTTCATTTTTCCATCAGAAGGAAGAGGAGGTGCCTGGACCTACAGGTCCTGGTTGTAACATTCTGCATCAGACCAACAGGTTGGCTCCAAGGTGCAGAGCTGCAAGCTGGGGGATGAGGAGTTTGGAGGCTCCCATGTGTACAGAGGGGGAAACTCCATCCAGCTCCAGAGTGATTGCTGACAATCTGCCAGCCAGTGCCCTGGCTTATCACCTGGCTTGTGGTGATCCCATGGATGCTGGGGCAATAAGGCACAGTGTGGCTCTCTTCATCAGATGTAAGATATGACATATATATATACTAAATATGCTGAAACCATGAACAATGTTAACTGGACTCTGGATTTATTGATGTTCAGATGCTTAAATAAAGCTACATTAAAATCAGGAGATCTGTTTATAAAGCTGCTTTTAAGAAAAATGTAAATCTTGCTTCCCTTAGTCCATTCATTATGAAACGTCTAAACAGTCCAGGGGATAATATAATTAAATCTCCATCTGGGAGGCAAGGTACTGTAAAAGCTTTTCTGGCTTCTAATAGGGTTAGTGTCTTGAAATTGTGTTAGAGCTGGGGCCACAGCTGAAAGGATGGGGAAGGATTGATGCTGACTGAATTGTATTTGTATTTGCCCAAGCATTTTGGATCGTGGAAAGGACAGAAATTGTTAGGTGGGCTTTGTTTCCTGAGTAAAGCAGAATGGCTTCAGGCTGAGCTACAGAAATGCTGTTTTCCAGTCAGTTCCCTGTGGTGGATGTGGGGGCTGTTTGGATGGTGAAGGAAGCTTTTTTCCTTAGTCTGTGCTAAAAGATAGCACTGGAGAATAATGGTCCCTGAATGGAAATGTGGGCTCTGTTTGCTATTCAAGGCCACTGGGTGACTGTTTTATTACTCATGTATTTTAGACCAGGAAGGGCTGAAAGGGCAAAGCACCCCCTGGGAGTTTCACCTTGCTCACAGGAGCAGTGAGATTTCTCCAGGATGTCTAGATTGGAGATGAGCGCTTTGACTTTTGATTCCTGGTGTGGTTTTAGTTATACAACCTAAACTTTGCACAGCTGGGTTAGAGTTTCTATAAACAGCTCCTGAAAGTATGCTGCAGTGCTTCTAGAAGCTTGCAAGCCTCCTGAACAGCTCTGAGTCCCAGCAGGATGGGTGAACAACAGGCTGTTCTGCCAGAAGGGAGGGACTGCCTCCAACTCCAGTGCTGTGCTCCTGCTGCTTCCTGAGTGGAGACTGCCCTGGGCCTGAGGTGTGCAAAGCAATTGTAAGACAAGCTGGTAACTGATCATGCATGAAAATGCCAGCTTTGTGCTGCTTTTGCAATAGTCCAAGCTTAACTCTTTTGGTTGTGGCTGCTGGGGCTTGAGAGCTCCCTGTGTGGCAGAATGGGGATGAGCAGCCTGATAACACTGGACACACAAGTGACACAAATACATTGTCACTCTGAAAGACAGCAATATGCATTATTTACTTCTGGTATGTGCTGCTTGGTCTTCCAGAGCATCAGTCTTGTATGATGAGATGGAAAAAGCTTTAAAACTTCCAAGGATAGGATCTAGACCATGAGTCCTGAACGTGTTTATGACTGAGGGCTGCTGTAAAACTCAACCCACAGCAGAACGAGTCACTGCTCAAACTTTGCTGGATTGCTCATTCTGTGAGGGATGTCCTTACATCAACCATCCATCCTCACTTGCAAGTATTCAATCCATGAATATTCTGTATTTTCCTTCAAGTTTCCATCAGAATGAAGCTTAGGGGGTTTATTTCTGACACAGATCAGTGCATTCACAAAAAGTATTCAGTTTAAGCAGACAGTCACTGCCCTGGTCAGTGTCTTGTTCTCCTGACAAGCTGTTCAAAACAGTAGCAAACCAGATTATTTATTAGCTGCTAAACCAGACAGCAACTTGAATTAAACCCACCTGTTTCCTTAATAGCACTTCTGAGCTGAACAAGTTCTTGGAGATCACAAGGACGCTCATCCCATGTTAGGATTGAAGGTTAGTGACATGCACTTTACCTTTCTTGCTAAATACCCCAAAAAGTGATAAGTTGGAATTAATTATTTTGAACCAGCTGAAAGGCAAGGAATACAAAACCTATTAAATGTGTAAAATTGTGCTGTACCCTGACACTGTGCACTGGAATGTTAGCTGAAGTTGTTCTGTGTTTCAGATTACTTTCTGATTTTGTTATTTGATCCCCAGTTAATTTAGTAGCTGGAAGTATTTTACTCTGTCAGTCTGAGCAGTTAAATAGCTTTTACAGGTGTCTTTCATGATGTGCTGTTCTTTCATATTGTCACTTCTTTTTAATAGCCTACCTCATTTTTTATTTTTTCTTATTACCATTTATACACTCTATTTAGCTCACTCCATTTTAATTAAAGTTCTTGGTGTTCATGACTGTAAATAGTATTTACTGGTTTCTGTTGCTGAACCACATGAAGTCCTTTTCTTTTTTTCCCCCCTCTTAAACAATTGATTCCAGGAATTTTGAGAACAATAACACATCCTTTACAGAGGATGAGTTGTCTGGAAAAAAGTTTCAAATTTTATTGATTCCTAGGCTGTGACATTGTTTCCTTTCCTTACCTCTTTTCCTGCTTTAGAATGGAACTCGCATGGTTTGAGTTCCTTGGATTTTTAAATGTTTTTTCAGTCCTCCTTCAGGGGAGGAGTAACTTTTGTCCCCCTCATCAATAGCTGTGCCTTCTCTATAGGTCTGTTAATGTAACATCTCCCCAGAGGCACTTGCTCCCTGGAGTGTATTTGTAGCAGTGCCTGCCTGAAGCCAGCTCATCCCTTGGATTCTTTTTGTTTCAACCCTGGAGAGATTTCCTAACCTCTGGGGTGATTTCTCACTGCCAGACAATCCTGTCATCCTGTAAGCAGAGGCACCTGCTCTGAAGGTCACCTAAGGTAAGGCTGTGGGGATGCTGACTAGGAAAATTATTGCTTAAACTTCACTTTTCGAGTTTTTCTTCCATTTTAACCCTACTGTTTGGCCACAGTGGATAGTGTAATTTTCCCAAGCATGTGCCAAAAGTGAATGAGTTTTCTGTCCTACCTCATTCTAACAGTGTACAAAGCACAACTGGAATGGGGCAGGATTATTAAAGTTTGTTTCAGACTCTTCTCCCTCCTGCTGTGGGTTAATATTTAAACTGCTTTGGGAGTATGAAATCTTCCAGAAATCTCATATGCAAAATCCAAAAGTTTCCAAAGTAGCTACACTTGAATTGCTGGACCCCAATGGCAAAGGTCAACTTCGTGTGAGTTCACACAAAGGCTTAATTTAGGATCCCTGGAATTTTCCATCCCTTCCTCCATTTCCTTTAAAGGAATTTTATTTGACAATGGAGGAGTTTTTCTGGAGGAGGCTTAATGAGAAGGGGGCTACTGAGCCTGAGTCATCTTTACAGCTGACACATGTGTCCATTTCAATAAGTCACTACTCATGGCTTAAACATGGTTCACTCCCATTGTGTAAATGGGAGTGCACCCATTTGTAAATTGTGCACAAGCAGGGCTGTGGTTTGGCATCTGGGACCTGAAACTTGGTGTAACATTTCAGAATCATGACATTCACTTTGTATGTGGGATTGTTTGGGCAGCTGAGCAACAGCACCTTCCCCATGAGCACTGAAGGCTGCTCTTGCTTGCTCTGAAAGACTTGTACAACTGGACACTTCACCAGAATAAAAGTTTTAATTTGCATTTTCTTTCTATGTCTCTGTTCTTTGGTGTTTCCTGTCTATGATGGCATTCAGCCTTCCATGATGTCACTTTTCAAAAGACAGATGTTAATAATTCCAGCTATTGTGTAGGATTATTGGGTTCTTTTACTCATTGCAAAAGTTCTAGTGGATTATGACATTCCTCTATGAATTAAGTAGATGTATAAGAAAGAAGTGTTGCTCTGTGGGAAGCTGGGGCTGTGTCACAGATTTCACTATCACTTTACAAGTGTCCCAAACAGTTTCTGTTTCTGAATTTAAGGCTGTTGCCATAGGAATTGTCTTCAGATTGGTAAATTATTTCAGTTCCTGCCTTCCCCATGGGCTCCTTAACTGGAAATGCTGCAGATAGTGTCTTTCCCAATTCATGAAGTGTTACAGAGAATCAGCCTGTGACTTACAAAGAAAATTTGACTTTCTGTGCAGCTCTTTTACTGTGTGGAAAGGTGTTTCTCTTGAGTTTTGCCTTCCCTCACTTCCTTTGTCTGTGACTACCTGACCACAGTGACATTGGCCCCACTTCAGACAGAGAACGTAAGCAGGCTTTGAAGCAGGTGAGTGGGAGGTCATAATGCTGCTTGTTGGTGAGTTTTAATGAAATGCAAGACTGAACCCCAAGAAAGGAGAGGAGAAAGTGTCCCTTGTCATCTAAGGCTCAGCTGGACCTCAGCTCCTTTTGGCTGGTTTACCTTTTGGAGGACTTACCTGGTCTTTGAGGAGCTGAGGAAATCATGCTTCCTTTGCTCCTTGTTTCTCATTAAATATTCTCTCACTTATTGCTGATTGAAGACTTCAGGAGAGATGAGGTGGTCCAGTGGAAAATTTTCCTCCTTGGAAACCCTGGCAGCTCCACAGCAGCAGTTTTGGTGTGAGTGCTGAGCTGCTTGAGCTGGCTTGGCTGCAAATGGCTTCAACAGGAGCCCTTATTGGGGTAATTGTGCCAGTCCAAAAGGCATTTGAAACACTTGATCTGCACCTTTCCTACAGCCATGGGCTGGGCTTTGGCAGCCTCCAGCTTGCCAGAAGTTTTCTTGCAGAGCTGGCAGGAGAAAATGTTGAGTCCGCACAAAAAGCTCTTGGAGAGGGAGGAAGGGAAGGAAAAGGAGCCATTTCCCAGTTTTGTCTGAGTACTGTCAACCTTTCTGTGTAAACTTATGGGGAGAGAAGGCTTTACAATGGTAGCATCCTTCTCTTTGACTTTTTTGGGGCACTGTGTGGCTGGAGTGGTTTTTCTCTTGCTGGAAAGGTCTTTCTGAGCCTCAAAATAGTGGCATGGCTGGAACAGGAGGACTCCTAAGGACAGACATGGAGAGCTCCTGGAGCCAGGCTGGGTTTTATGTCCTGGCAGCTGCTGCGGTGTTTGCTGTGATCTGCTGTTTATATTGCTCAAAACATTCCATGGAACAGGAAAACTGTGGTTTGCTGCTGTGGCATGAACCAAAACAGCCTCTGGAGTCATGGTGTGTGTGTAAGGAGGGGAGTGGAGAAGGTGACGTGGTGAGCTGCTGGTAAAAGCCACCCTGTGTGGGAACGAGGAGGACATGACAGCACAGTGACAGAGGGCCCGAGGGTGGCGTGGGAGTGTTTTCCAGGAGTGTTTCTCCAGGACTGCTGCCTCCTGGGGACGGGTGAGCTGGGTCACACAGTCAACTTGCAGGCTACAGCCTACAGCTGCTTTTTTTCCCCACAGGTCATGCATCTTCCCTAAAACTTTGCCACTCCATCAGTTGGTGAGAGTGTTAAGAGGAAGGAGGACCTACTGCAATATTTTTTTTTTGAGCTTTGCAGCACTGGAGACTAATTTTTTTATTCTTTTTTTTTTTCCCCTCTCCAAGTTTGTAGTCCAGTGATTAAAGTCTCTGGCAGAATTTAACTTTTTAAACTACTGAATTCATATCCTCCTGTGTACAGGGAAAAGCCTGGAAAAAAGTTAAACCCCCAATTTCCTCTTTATTTAAAAAAAAAAAGTTTTAGTAAGGTGCGGAGGGATTTTATCCACAATTCCCTTATAGAACAGGAAACTTTTTTTCAAACAACCTCTCTTTAGATGGATTTTCAGCTGCTAGGATGTAAACACTTTCCTGTGAGCATTTTGCATTCCTCCTTTTCCTGGGTTTTCCTTCGGCTGGGTGAGTGATGCAAGAACACGCCCCCATGGTGTTATTTTTGGGAAGTGCTGCTCTGAGGGTGTTCTCGGTGTTTCCTGTAGGAGCCAAACACGTTTTCTTCTAGAGAGAAAAACCTTCCCCAGAGATTCCCGGTGGGAGGGATGTGTTGGCTGGGAGCGCCACCGCTGGGCTGGCAACTGCTCCTCCCTCTCTGCCTTTCAGACCCACTTTCTGCATTTTTGCTCTCTGGTTTGAACTTTGGGTGGATTTGGCTTTGCTTATTTGTAAATATTACATGGACTTCTGGAGCTGCAGGAGAGTGAACAGAGCAAGTGAATGTGTAAATTACCAAAAGCAGCTGGGAATGCAAATAGCAGAAGTGTTCTCTGTGGGTTTTACCAAACCCTCAGTGAAAGCTCTTCACCACATTTTGCTCTGTTTGTCACCTCCTGGGCTGGGGAGCCCTTTCAGAGGATATGCTGAAGTGCTGGCAGGACTCACTGACAAAGCAAAAAGGGCTCTGTAAGACCTTGAATCAGTGCTTTAAATTTGTTCTAAGACATCTTGATCTTTTCTTCACACTTGAATCTTATTTTAACTGCCCTTATCTTACTTACTCCTGTGGTTACCAGTTTAACTGCCCTATTTTTAAATCTGGGTTATTAATTAAAAGTGATTCCTCCTTGGAGCTCAGATATTCATCAAGTCTGTGAGTGCACTTGAATAGAAAATTTTTGTGTGCTTTGTTATCACCAAGAGCCAAAGCAACACTGTGAACTCCTGAATATCCCTGCCAGGAGCAAAGAACTGGCAACAGGGACAAAAATCTTTGAGCTGTGCAAGAGTCCAACTGCCCAGTGCTGGCTTTTATCACATGCTGGGACAAGGATCACGTGGAGAGGCGGGGAGTGAGCCCTGCAGAGCCCAGGTGGCTTCGTGGTGCTGGGATCTGGGAGCTCCTGGCCCGATGGCATCCGTGACCCAGCAGCAGATCCAGAAGGTAAGGAAGGAGCTGCTCTGCAGGGAGGGAGCGTGTCCAGAGTGCAGGCAGTGTGTAAGACAGAGCCACTGCTGCTTAACCTGGCAGCAGTCTAGCCAAAATCTGCTTTGCTAACACTTTATATTCTCCTCAGCTTCTTCCATTACGTTAATTTTAGTGTGTGAGTGTCATGGCTACAGACTCTTCTGGGGGCAGCTTGTCCCACAGAGCTCTTGGAGGGATTTCTCCTGTGCCCCTTCTGTCTGTGTTGCTCAACTCTCATCCCTGAACTCGAAATCTTCCTGGCAAAGGATAATCTCCAGGGTATTCTATATAAAGAAACTGAGTTCACTGCCAGCAGAGTTCATTTTGTATTGTGTAGTGAACTGTGAGAAATCACCCAGGGATTTTTTTTTTTCCTTAGAGAGAACAAAGCTTTCCAGCTTGTAAAGGAATCTCATTCTGATTTGGCACACAGGCATGACTGCCCTGTTTGTGTTAGTAGACTTGGTAGTTTAATAGCTGCTGGTTACAGGCATTAGATAAGATATCCTTGAGCCACAAAAGGCTCTAGCGGTCAGAGCTCTGTTTTGTGTAGACTGAGAGATTGAAATAGATTCTTCTTAACTGTTTGGAATTTCAGCCTCTTAATTAATCGTTTGCAAGAGAAACCCCTACTGAAATTAAAAATTAAGAACATACTGCCTGGCTGCAGAGCTGGAGCTGGGATGCTTTTCACCCCCTAAAGGGCCAGAGCTGCTTTCTCTTGCTTTGTGCTGCTTCCCCCGAGGACTCTGGGGGAGAGCAGTCACCCCATCTCTTCCAGTTCCACGAGGATGGTTTCCTTGTCCTGGAGCGGTTTTTCAGCGCAGAGGAGTGCGACAGCATGAGGAGGCAGATCCAGAGGATCGTGGCGGAGATGGAAGTGCCCCCTCACTGCCGCACCGCCTTCTCCACCAGGGAGGAGGAGCAGCTCCAGCAGCAGGTACCGAGCGGGCAGGGCTGCCCCCATGGAGGGCTGGCAAAAGGCAAGGAAAAGGCAAATAACCGATCAGGGGTCTCTCTGCGGGAACGTGACTCTTCTAATGGACCAGAACACCGGGAGAGGAATTTGCTCTGCAGCTTTCTGCAAATGTTTGCAGGGTCTTATCAAGAGTCTTATCAATGTGTGGCTCTGCTGTGCTTTCAACCCCCAGTAGCCACAAGCAGCTCTCACAGATCACTTTGTACATGTTCTGCAGACAGAAAACTGGGTATTTTCCAGAAAAGCGAGGGTGACCTCTGTGTGAGAGGATCTTGTAAAACCCTGATCAGCACAGACATGCAGTGTTGTGGAAAGCCTTTTTATGAGTGATTTTTCACTGTGTTTTGTTTATGCTGCGGCTTGGTGGGGAAAAAGATGCAGGTGAGTGTTAATGCTTTGACTGAAAGTTCATTTATGTTTTTACAAGGATGCTGTCTTTACTGGGCTCTTATCCCTGCAGGGTAGCTCGGATTATTTCCTAACCAGTGGAGACAAGATTAGATTCTTCTTTGAGAAAGGTGTTTTGGATGAGAAAGGTAAGCCCTGCAATGAGTTAGCTACACAGAGGGGATGGGAAAAGGCTGAGGGAGGGATCAGGGGCCAGTTTCCAGCTCAAGGAATGTTTCCAGCTCAAACAACGTTAAATTATGGTTTTGTTTTATAGGTAACTTTCTAATTCCAAAGGAGAAGTCTGTCAGCAAGATTGGCCATGGTATGTTTAAAGGATGAGTTTGGAGAGGGATGGGCAAAAGAGATGTGGTTTTCAGACATGAGGATTTCTCTACTCACTGTACATAACTGTCTCTGCAGTTCTCTCCATGCTGCCCCTCACGCTCTCTGCTCTCAGAGCACTGGATCGTCTGTTCCAGTCCTTTTCAAAAACCCCTTCTCAGAGGTTTTTCCGTGATGAATAGCTCAGAGTCACTGACATGAGAAAGTTTGGACTTCAGCCCTTGGTTTTTTTATGTAACAGATTTGCTTTAAAAATTTACCACCTGAGACTGGTGACATTCAATACAGACCAAACTCTCTCCTATGACCTGTGCCATGCTGGGTTGCTGATATTGAAGCAGCCCTCTCTCCTGTGGTGTCACCAACACCTTTTCTTTACCCTTACTGATCTGTTTGACCTATTTATTCTCTCCCAGTTCCTGAATTAGCATTTTTGATCCCTTTTGTTTTCCAACAATACATGGAAAATGAGAGCAGGATTCCCTGTGCCTGCAAACGTAAACTTTGCTCAGACTAAACTTTTGCTACAGTTGGAAATTCAGTACTAAGAGTTCTTTTTCTTTGGTTTTCTCAGAAAAAACCCTCTCCTCTTCCCAGGCCTGCTGCTGCTTCAGCATTTCCTCAGGGGAAATGAAAACAACTGTAGGTTCCTGCTGACCCAGCAACTTAACAATTCAGAAGCCTTCTCTAGCCTTATTTCTGTAATTACTCATTTTGGTCAAGTCTGATCCCTTGCCTGAGAGCAGCTCCTGCTGGACCTGAGCATGTGTCCTGGTGGCAAATCTGATCAGGATGAGCTGGAGGCACAACTCTGAGTCTTTGCTTTGTGGATTTGTCAGAGCTGGGTTGTAGCAAGAGTCTGCACAAACACTCAGCCCTGCTGAAGGGCACCAAAGATGAGCTCTAGCTCCTTTTTGCAGTACTTCACTTTTCTGGTAGGTCTTAAGAGATGAATTCACCCATATGCCTCAGGGTCATGTGTAATGGTTGTCACTTGTGTAATATCATACTGAATCCCATAATATTCCATTTTGTTCACTCTGTTGTACACTGGCTTTTATGTGTGTGCAGTTTGTGGCCAGGGAGTGATTACATTTGTGGTCTTTAATGATGACTGTATAACCTGTAAGTGTCCTACCACCTTAGGTGTGATAAGTCACATTTATCCATCTTGGGAGGGATCAAAGTTTCTGGCTGCAATTTATCCTGCTTGGCTGTGATGTCTGCAGCCCATCACTGAGAGCTGTTCCCTTCTCTTTCTGAAGTCTTGTCTGAGCTTTTTCTTTCCCCTTAGCTCTACATGCTTATGATCCTGTCTTCAAGCAAATCACCCACTCCCCCAAGGTGCAGGTGAGCTGTTATTGCTTCCTAGAATGGCCTTGGAGGGGAAAAAAAAATAAATTGCAGAGTAGTTGATTTTTGTTTTCTACACTCCCAGGGGGAGTAATTTTGTCAGTGAAAGGAAATTTAAATATCTTCAAAGAATAATGCTAAATAGTGTGCAGGGAACATAAATCTTGGAAAATTTTCTTGCAGGAACTGGGAAGAAAACTAGGCCTTGAGAGACCAGTAGTTGTCCAGAGCATGTATATCTTCAAGGTACAGTAATTCAAGTTGTCTTGTCACTCAAGAAATAAGACCCTGTTAAGTGGGAAGCTGTGAAATTCTTCACACATCACTTTTTTTTCTTTGCAGCAACCTGGCATTGGTGGTGAAGGTGAGATTTGTGTTATCTCTATATCACACTGCAGATAATGCTCCTTTAGGAAAGGAATATTACCAGGGAAAAGGCTCATAATCAGACTTAAACCTGAGTTTGGCAATCCAAACCTTCTTAAAATCTTTGAAATCAACATTTTTTCAGAAAAGTTTCTACATCATATGCAGCTTGAACAGAGAGCTGGTTTTACATTTGCAGCAGGCTAAAAGGTGGGATTTTTATGTAAAATGTAATGTATGTGATAGGTGGGTGGGCAGGGGAGGGCCCTGAGTCAGGGAGATGCAACCCTGAAGCCCTTCTAGAGGAACTGAATCCCATTGAAGACCCCAGTGACAGTCTCTTCTTGCAGTGACACCACACCAGGATGCCACTTTCCTGCACACTGAGCCCCTGGGCAGGATCCTGGGGTTCTGGATTGCCCTGGAAGATGCCACCCAGGAGAATGGCTGCTTGTGGTTCATCCCTGGCTCTCACACCAGTAAGAGCACGTGCCTGACCACTGCTGGTCACCAGCACAGTTCTGCTTTTCCCCACCTCTCGAGCACACAGGGCAGCTTTAAACTTCTGCTCACCCAAACATTCACTCAATGAGTGTAATCATAATGCTCTTCAGATTTTAAGCTGTTCCTTCCTTAAATCCTGGAGCCAGCTGTACTCAAATCATGGTTTATGATCCTATAGAAAGCACAAATGGACCAAAGGTTGGTTTTGCATAAGTGTGTGACTATTTGTGTTCCTAAGGGTCTGTTGCTATGCACAGAAGGGGCCAAAAAGGCAAACAAAAGGCAGCTGTTTTCTCTGTTTCTGCCACAGCTGGAAAATCCTAAATCCCTACTTAATAAAAAAGACATCACCCGAATTATTAAGGAAAGTGTGAATATAGTAATAATAAAGTTCCTGTCATTGCCAAGAGAAACCACTGATATTGTTCCTTTGCTGTGCAGAATGTAGCCAGGTGTTTAATTTTTGTGTGTTTGCTTATTCTGTGGATTTGCAGATGGGATTACCAGGAGGATGGTCCGTGCAGCTTCAGGTGCCTCAACATGTGTGGAGTTTGTAGGCTCAGAGCCAGCCTATGATGACAAGGAGTTCATACCCCTGCCCATAAGGAAAGGTACAAACAGCCCCAAACGTGGCACTTCACAGCTCAACAGAACACAAGGGAGCTGAAATCATATTTTAACCCTGCACCTTCCCCCCAGTGGAAAGCCAGAGCTCATATTTTGGAAAACAGTCCAGGTGATTCTTTCCCACAGGTGGGCTCATCCTCATCCATGGGGAGGTTGTCCATAAGAGTGAACTCAACAGCTCAGAGTCCTCTCGCCACGTGTTCACCTTCCACGTGATGGAGGCCAAGGGCACCACCTGGAGCAAGGAGAACTGGTAAGGTTGTGATCCTCACCAGTGGCTGAGGAAATGGAAGCCTTTCCAGTGCAATGGTTAGGAGAACTGTTGGGAGTCTTGCCTGTACAGTTTGTGCCTCAGCTGGCGTTGATTTCATACCTGCAGAACTGGAATAGCCTCTGAAGTTTTGCTTTTTCCTCTTCTTTACTCCCTAGGCTCCAGCCAACTCCTGAACTGCCTTTTCCATCACTCTACACTTGAAGTTAGTGACTGGCTGGCTTGTGGAGTCAATAGCTGATCAACATTCCTTTCTGATTGCTCATTCATGGTCTCTTTAAAAACAACCTTCACTAGATCAGCTCTCAATATTAATTTATCCTCCTCCTCAAAACCAGGACCATTATCACAGCCCAAAACTGCAGGAGACAAAAGCTTCTACTGCAGCAGGAGCCCTGCCAGTGTCAGAGTAGTCCCCCAGTCCTTTTGGTAAGGAAACACTTTCAGTCTTGAGAACAAACCAGTTAAGACCATTGCACCTTGACTGGGACCACTTACAAGTATTTCTCCTTGTAGATACTCAGTATTTTCTTGTGTTGAAGAGCTTAAGTGCATTTCTTGGCTGGTTGACTTCAGCAATGCAGGTGACCATGTTGTGGGGAGAAGTTTGATTTTCACCCCTAGTTTTCTGTCTTATTGTTGGAATAACAGTGATTTAAAACAATCTTGTGGGTGAAATGAAGCAAGAGGTCTGCTTTTCATAGTCAACCTTCTAAATTACCCTGGAAGACAGTAGCTGAGTGTTTTATCTCTGAGCGTGATTAAAAATACAACAATTTTTAAAGATTCATGTTGAAATGATGGAAACAAAGAACCTCAATCAAACTCTTTACATTTAAATAAAAAGATAGAAATTCTTCATCTCCATCATCTTTTCTTTGAGGAAGACTCAGTGTGATCTTCTTCCAACAGATGGGGATAGTGTTAAATTGTCTGGTGAGCAGCTGGAACTCTCAATATGCACAAGAATAATTTCTGCCCCCAAAACCACACCAAACCCAAACCAACTTCTAGCAAGCAATGTTTGGAAATGCAAGCTACATCCCAGTCTGTACCTGAACTGAACAGTAGCTGTGTAGGTGTGATTTCACCAGCACTGGTGCAGTGGCAACCTTGAGACAGGAGCCCAGTGTCACCAATGCAGGAATTGTATCAGAGTAACCCTAAGGCTCCTGAGGTGGTAGAGTGGACCCAAATCTTACTGACTCATCCCTTTCAGAAGGAAACTGGGGAGCTGGGTCATGGCAACAGCAGGAACATTGAATGCAAAGTTTCTGCATTCAAAAACTACCTTTCCTACAGTTTGTTTGAAAGTTGGAAGCAGGGGGGAAGGAAAGTAAATTTCTCTACCTCTGGTGCAATTTATGACATCAGTGGTGAAGGGTGTGGCTTGTGACAGAAGCAACTTAAGTTTTGTCTGTGTCTTTCCATGAGAGGAGTTAATAATTTAGAATTCTGCTGAGGAAGGATAATTTGTCCTGACTTGCACCACGACCTGCAGTGTGCAAAAGCATCTACTTCGAGTGCATAAATAAAATTTTAAAAAAGCTGAATTGATTGGCAGGATTTCCTGTTAAATGTGAAGGAAACAGCCCAGCAGTTACTGAGTTGGGTTTCCTACAGAGTATCTGACAATTTACTGTGCTAGTAACCAGCTCTGGCATCCTCAGGAACAGCAGCACCAAATCCCAGGAGCCCTTCCCAGGCAGGAGGATGAATTGGGCAATGCTGCTTCTCAGCTATTCCAACCCTGGCTTGTTGCAGGGACACACAATATTGGATCCTGGAGCCAATTCTGCTGACTCAGGGACTGGTTTCACTCCACCCCTGGTCTTAGGCTCCCTCCCAATGTCTCAGAGCTACAGGCCTGCAGGACAGCGTTGTGTAAGGTACCTTGGACTTCCCCCAGACTGTTCCCAAAAGTGAATTAAAAAAGGGTCAGAAGTGAACTTCATGATGCAAACTAGGAGCCTGGGATGACAATCTCCTGCTTGGACACATCCCTGGAGATAGGAAGGACCCTTGTGTTTTGTTCTGATGGACACTGGGCAAACCAGTGAGAAGAGAATGTTGATAGAGAAGGGTTTCATACATAGAAATGAAGTGTTTTTTTGGCCACAAAATGGTAGTTATAATTTTAATTAAATGGATGGATTTCAGTAGCTTTAGTCAATTCATTGATAGAAGCATTTTTATACATTATTAGATTAAACATCTGGCTGAAAAAATGGAAAAGTAGGAAAGTGTAATAGTAGAAAATTTTATTGACTTGAACAGATTTTCTGCTTTCAGGATTAATGTGTAATTAGTTTTCGCTGTGACTTTGCTTAATTTCCCCCCCCATATTCATTCCTAATTATTTTGGAGATGAAATCTTGAGAAAGATAAGACATTTTTCTTGCTGAAGCAAACTTCAGGGCTAAAGATTCACTGTTCTTATTAGTGTGGTCTGGAATGAGCAGTGTCTGACATCCCCAAACCTTCACTCTGGATAACTCAGCTGTGGCAGGTGCTGGATTTGGAGCTGTGTTTGTGCATCGTGGTGTGGGTTTGGCTCTGGCTGATGTGGACTGGACAGAACTGGACATTTGTACCTGGTTCCTGTGCCCCCCCCTTGTTATCAAACATGCTTTACATCGTGCTTACACAGAAATGAGAGTGCACACATCAAACACAAGACACAGGACTCAGTACAGAAAACAAGGTACAGAACAGAGGTAGCAACATCTAAGAGACCTGCTTGTTTATTTTGTCCTCTCTAATTGACTTACCTCTTCTTTCTCTGCTTCTCTTGGGTACCCAGAAGAAACCTAAACTGGATTATTAAACATAAGTGCTGTTTTTATCAGTCATGTTTGTTGCCGTTAGAACATAAATCTATTTTCCATGGGTAAAAACAAGACTAAATCAAAACCTTTATTTTAAATAAGTCTTTTTCATTTCTGTTCTCAACAATTTTCTCTGCTGTACCAAAACATCAGCTTTGAGCTTCCATTAAAGTGCATTTTCTAGTACCTTTCTCTAGGAAGGGAGAAAATTTTGTTTCTGGAAGTGCTTCTATGCCATGAGCATGATCTGGAGGTAGAGAGGCAACAGCAGATTATCAATTTGAGTAGTGTAAGCTTCCAGAAGAGAAACCAAACTCACAGATGCCAGAATCCAGGCATAGCTGGAGTTCAGATTCACATTGCTGTCAAAGATCAGAATGAGAGCCACAGCAATGATCTGGGCAAAAATAGCTGTCATTGTCCCTTCAAAGGTCTTCTTTGTTCCTGGCCATTTGATTTCCCCCATTGTACTGCCAAAAACAGAGGCAATGGTGTCTCCTACCCCCACTGCCAACACCCCAGAGTAGGGGACCAGTGCTCCTGCCCCAGGCAAGGTGCCTTTAGGAGCACAAGATCTGGGAAACAACCACACTGGGAGGGACATGCCAAGGAGGAGATAAATATGAGTCAAGATTAGAGGTCCACTGTCTCTTTCATCCAAGAAGAGAGAGAGCAAATGCCTCAGGGTTTGTCCAAAAGGTTTGATCCTGAAGTACCGCACGTACTCTAAGAAGATGAACACTGCCAGACACAGCACTGCAGCAACATAGAGGAGCTGGCGGTCATAAATGAGTCCAGGAACATAAGTAGCAACAACAATGAAGTGGAAATATTTCCTGGTTATGGTCGAGGCCTGGTGTTTTTTAGATTCAGATGATCTCTTGGCGTTCTGGTAGAAAACCACCCCACATGCTGAGGCAGCCAAGAAAGTCCAATACACAAGGAGGTAAAGTCTTGTCTGTGTCTGAAACAGAAACTGGAGCAGCCAGAACAAAGGGTTCCTCTGGATCAGTCGGTACAGCCAAGGCATGATGACCCCTAAGCCTAACACTGCTGTCATCATGTGGAAAAACATGGAGGAGATCCACGTGCCCGAATCCATGAAAGTGAAGAGCACGGTGAAAAAAAGACCAAGAAGAACAACTCCAACAACTGCTACCAGGAGGAAGAAGTCAATGGGATCCCCTCTCCCCTCGACTACATTCAGTGAGCGTTTAATGAGCTGATTGAGAACAAAACTCACACCTCCGAGAACCAGCAGCGCTTCCCCAGGAGTAAAACACCGCGGCAACAAGTACAGCAAGATCATACTGAGGTAGACAAAAATGAGCAGCACTTCTAGAACCTCTATCACCTCTGAGACAGTCAAGGAATGTTTCATGGTGTAGATAATTACGCTGCCAGCAACACCGGTCAGGATGCAGGTGTTGGTTGGCACGGGTTTGGTGATGCCCACGGCCAGGACGGACAGGAAGAGCGCCAGCAGCATTCCCGCGGAAGCCACGACGACGCCGAAGCGCTCGAAGTACACGATGCCGGCCGCCCTGCACCTCTCCTTCATCACCACCCCCAGCAGGGGGATGACCATGCTGGCGGGCAGGAGGCCGCTGTTGGCAGCGCCCCGGAACTGGAACACGGCCCCTCCCTGCTGCAGCAGCCGGTCCCATTTGAACTGGGCATAGAAGGCCTGCAGGGCCAGGGCCACGGCGCACCAGGAGAAGCGGTCCCAGACCACGGCGTGCACCGACAGCACCACAGCGAACACCAGCAGGGACTCCACCAGCACTGCCTTGTCCAGCATGGTGCCAGCCCTGCCTGCCTCAAGCTTGCAGAATCTCAGCAGGCCCGAGGTGCTCAGTTGTCCATTAGGAAGAATTCCTTAGGAAGAATTCCCTTCTGTGCTACTGCAATTGCTATTAAAAAAAAAATAGGCAAGCAATTAAAAGCAATTAAAGCAAATACTTGGACAGCTGAAGTGTTTGCACAGCTGTCACAGATATATTTTATGAAAAATCCTTTTGCTAGGATCTTTTTTCTTCTGAGAAGCTGAGAGGCTTGAGAAACTAAATTCTATAATATATAATAATATATTATATAATATATATTACATATCATAATATATAATATTATAACCATAATATAATTATATAATAATATTATAATTAGAATATAATTATATTTATATAATTTATATATAATTATAATTGTATTATGATTATAGATATTACAATTATATTATACTATTATAATTATAATATAAAATATGGATATTATAATATAAAAGATAATGTAGATATTATATATTTTATAATATATTATTATATATTATATAATAATTATCTGCTTGCTCCTATGGAATGCAACAGGTGCATCTTTGATTGGTCTCATGTGGTTGTTTATAATTAATGGCCAATCACAGTCTGGCTGTCTCAGACTCTCTGGTCAGTCACAAGATTTTATTATCATTCCATTCCTTTCTATTCCTTGCTAGCTTTCTGATGAAATCCTTCCTTCTATTCTTTTAGTATAACTTTAGTATATAATATATATCATAAAATAATAAATCAGCCTTCTGAAACATGGAGTCAAGATTCTTGTCTCTTCCCTCATCCTGGGACCCCTGCAAACACCACCACACACAGCTATTTGTTTCTTAAAGTCTATTTAAACTGATAGTTGTGTGCCAATTGCTAATGTCAACACACAGATGATTAAAAAAACCCCAAAACTGAGGTGAGTGAATCATGCACTTCACCTTCTCTGAGTGAAGGCTCACAGCCCACTGACAGCTGTGCTGCAAACCAAACTTTTCTTTAAACTTTTGGACTGGAAGATAAGCAGTTGAGATAATCAGCAACAGGCACATTTACTCTGTTAGGTTAAATCTCATCTTATCTTCTTCAAAGAATTGTGGGCACTGACAACATTGTGCAATTCTCACCAGCATTTATTGCTTTCTGGCAGCCTTGATTTCTCTATGGATACATAATTTGATAATCAGCCATATGTAAACCTCTGCCATTACACTGGCACCTCTCCTGCAGTCTTTGAAGGTCTCAGGTTCTTTATTTCTGTTGGAAATTTTATCCTTTCTGGCCCACCATTAAGCTGATTAGAGCAAAGTCTGCTAAGTAAATTCTTCTCCCCAAGTCTCAATGCCAATATCTACACCAGCTCCCCCATGGAAGGCCAGAGGTTTATTTAAGGTTCTCTTTTGGGTTTTCAGCCAGTGTTGAATGGTGATAGCAGATTACAAAGCTGACAAAGTAATAGCAATATGAGGAACTATTACAGTTTGTACTGTCAAACTTCCTTAGACAGTGTGTCTGCAGTGTTTAGATATTTATGACTTTGTACTGAAAACTTAATTATTGATAGACTGCTTTTTGGCATCCTTATTCATATAGCCTGAAATACTTGATTGCCAAACAGCTTCATTACGTGCACTGTTGCTACACAGCTCCTTCAGGCCAAATGTAATATTTTGCCATTGCAATTAATTTTTAAACAGGAGAAGAATTAATCATACAGTCAATAAAACAGAACTGGTCTGGACTATATCTACCTCCAACTCCCTGCTGTTTCTGAGAACTGGGGAGGGGGAAGCCTAAGGCTTATCTGAGGAAAAGCAGAGTAAATCCTTGCCAAGCAAGGACCGAGTCCTCCCACTCAGTCTGGCAACCTTAAGATTGCACCACAGCTCCGGTATCAATGGCAGGGACACTGCCCTGCCAGGCTGCCAGAGCAGGCAGAATTTCACCCTGCCTGAGGTCTGTGCTGCAGCAGCGCTGAATGTTTACACCTAACAATCTGCAATGCGATGTATTTCACTGCTGAGTTATTTTGTTTTCTCGTGCGTGCCGCAATCCCCTCCTCCGCACCTCCTTTTAGGTAATGTGAGGCTCCTCGGCCCCGCCGCTCTCATCGTCGAACGGGACCCGCACCGAGCGTTTGCTGCCCGGCTCGGGCTCCGCATCCCGGCTGCTCAGGGCAGGGAAGCTTCCCACTGACGTGCTGCCAAACATCCGGCAGCCCTGGCCTCGCTGCAGCCCTGCCTGCTCCCTCTCCTCCCCAAGCCCTCGCAGCGCTGTGGACGCCCCTCAACCCGCGGGCTGCCCGCGTCCTGTCCTTCTACGCTGCTCGCCGCCGCCTCCTGACCCCTCAGCCGCGACATCCACAGCCCAGCTTCCGCTACTGGGAACGCCATCTGCCCGCGGGCGGTGTCGGAGGCGCTCCCGGGTGATTCCCAGTTCCAGCGCGAAGCTGCGGCCCCGACCCGGAGCCCAACGCGCACCCACCTGGCAGGACGCCGCCATCTTGCCGCGCCGCCTGTCACATGACCCAGCTGTGAGGGCGTGTTCGGGGGGCGTGGCCTGTGCAGCACCACGTGACACCGGCGTGGTGGAGGGAGCCGGCCCCTGGGTCACGTGACACCGGAGCGAAGATGGCGGCGGGCGGGCTGAGCGCGAGGTGCGGGACCGGGGCCGCTCGAGCGGAGGGAACTTCGGGGCAGCGTGGGGGAGCCCCTGGCTCTCGCTGCGGGCGGACCCCACTCCGCGGGACCGGGGGCCGAGAGGGGCCGGCGGGGAGGGAGCGCAGCGCGGGGCCGGGAGGTTTTAACTGCGGCGGGGCGCGCGCCGGGCTGGCCCCGCCCCCGCCTCGCGCGCGCGGTGAGGCCCCGCCCCCTCGGCTGGGGGACCCTCAGGGACCCTCAGGGAGCCCCGGCTCAAAGAGCGCAGTGAGCAGCGACTGCCGGCATTTTGTGGTTGTTTAATTCCGCCGTGCGGGATCAGAGCTGGGCAGCGCTCCCTGGCAGCCGTTGCTTTGGCGAGGCCGGGGGCTCGGTCCGCGCTCCCTTCCCGGGGGTGCCCGACGGGCGCTCGGCCCTTCCCTGAGGCGAGGGGCGCGCCAGGGCCGGCTGCGCCTCCCGCGCGGCTCCTGCGGACGTGCGAGTCAAATACACACGTGGAAATGTATAACGGAAGCGATTTAATGAATCCCGTTTTCAGTGATCAGCGTAGTTCGGTTGTTTCGTTTCTCTAGAGCACGTTTTTTGTAATTCATAACAACGCTTTTATGTTCTGGAGTTTC